CTGCGGCTACTACTAGTAGTATTACTATTTCAACTACTACCACCACCACCACCACTACTACTGCTACTGCTACTACTACTACTATTGCTACTACTACTACTACTACTACTACTACTACTACTACTACTACTACTACTACTACTACCACTGACGACTACTGCTATCAAAACTACTAATGCTACTACTATCTCTACGACTACTACTACCATCACTGCTACTGCTGCAACGTCTTCTACTACGATTGCTACTTCTACTTTTACGAATATCACTACTACCAGTCGTACTTCTACGCTGGCTGATCATATTACTACGAAGACTTCGATTATGACGACGTCTACCACTGCGACTACGACTACGACTACGACTACGGCTGCGACTACGACTACGACTGCGACTGCGACTGCGATGACGACGACGGCGACGGCGACGACGACGACGATGACTACTACTACGACTAGGCTTCCGTAGGTTTCCCCAGGGCCCCCCTTAATTTTTCCAAGGCTCCCCGTGCGTTTTTCCGGGGTGCCCGCTGAGCTTTCCCAGGGCTCCCTCCCCGTGCCCGCCCCCCTCCGGAGGGCCCAAGATGATCCGAGAGGTGTCCAGGATGCCACGATTTGTGAACATCGTTGTCGCGTGAGGCTCGGTGCGGCGGTGGCTGGTTCGACTCTGGAGCGCTGAGCACCATGGGTTTTGATAATTCCCCCTCGCGTGGCGCTCGGGCGCAACTCCCGTGCTCGTGCAAGGCCGCCTCTGAGACGATTGTCCGTTTCGGTGGGGCGGGCGGCAAGAGGAGCAGGTGAATTTGAGGAGGAGGCGTTGTAAAAAAAGGAGGTGGAGGCGGGAGGAGGAGGAGGACGAGGAGGAGGAGGACGAGGATGAGGAGGAGGGGGAGGAGGAGGAGGAGGAGGAGGAGGAGGAGGAGGAGGAGGAGGAGGAGCAGAGGAGGAGGCGTGAGGAGGAGGAGGACCATTTTTAAACCCAAGACGCATCAACGGCGTTGCAGTACACCCTACCCAAGAACCTGCATCAGGGCAACAACACAGACCCGGGGTCCTCAACGCCACAAAGCAACGTTGCAATTGCGTCCTGGCAATCCCAAATCGAGCTAGGACGCAGCCCCTTGGATATCAACACGGCGAGTCAACGTGATTGTTGCGTTCAGACAATCTTATTTAAGCCGTGCCATAACACCACTTTTCAAAATTCAGCCATGCGAGCCCTTGAAATTGCTGCGACCTTTGAGACGACTGCGAGCTAGTGCGATAACTACAGTTAGGATAGAAGCCGTCTTCCGTTAGTGGAGTTGTTGCAAACTGGTGTGACGAATGTGCGCGGCGCCAAAGCGGGGGGGGGCACATTTTGAGAACCAACCGCCCTCCATTCGTTGGAGCTGTTGCAAGCGTGTGAGACGAAGGCGCGCAGCGCTAAGGCGAGAGCCACATTGTGAACACTACCCGCCCTCCATCAGTAATGTTGCTGCGAACTTGTATGACGAATCCTTCCCTCCTTCCTTGAAGCTGCTGCCGACCTCCAAAACGAATGTGCGCTGCTCTTCAATGCGAGAACTACATGATGAAAGCCACCCGCCGTTGGTGGAAGCTGGTGCAACTGTCCACCCTCAGACGTGAGGAAGTCTCAAGCGAACGCCAGGCCCGCATTACCGACGCGTCCTGGGTCTTGTGACAGAGTTACGTACTTATCAGGAAAAGGGTTGGAGGAGAAGGGGCGGAGGACCAGTGTAAACCCGATGAAGATGGTGCAGTACAGCCTCCCTCCAAGTTCCCCCGCGATTGGCCCCTCCAAGAAAGCCTGTTCATGTCTGGAGTGTTGGAAGGCAACCGTCCGAGAATCTGACATCGCGCCAAAGGTTTTTTCCCAGGTGAGTGTTGCGTCCTGTGGTCCCTTAAATCGTGCCAGAAAGCAGTTCCTGGGAATTTCGCACAGTGAAGCGACATGACTGTTGAACCCTGGCAAGCTTAAATCGTGCCATGACACCACTCCTGAAATTCCAGCAATACGAATCCTTGGAGCTGCTGTGAACTTTTGGGGCGAATGTGCGCGGCGCTGGTGCGATATCTAGATTTTGAGTAGGAGCAGCCCTCCAGTAGTGGAGCTGAGCTGTTGCAAACTTTTGTGACGACTGTGCGCGGCGCGAAGGCGGGATCCACATTTTGAGAACCACTTGCCTTCCGTTCTTGGAGCGGCTGCAGACTTGTAAAATCAATGCGCGCGACGCCAATGCGAGAGCCACATTGTGAACACCACCGCCATCCCTCCGTGAAGTTAAGCTGGTTCGGACGTTCAGACAAAAAGTGTTCGGCGCTAAAGCGACAGGGAGGAGGTTTTATGAGGACAAGGGGGGGAGGAGGGCGAGGAGGAGGAGGAGGCCGAGGAGGAGTAGGAGCAGGGGAGAAGGAGGAGGAGCAGGGGGCGGGGGGCGGAGGGGAGGAGGACAAGCTAGGTGCGCTCGCGTCATATCTGACGTCCTACCCCTCCCTCCCATCCCTTACCATGGCGCTGATTTTCTCTATCCGCGGACGCGTGTCGTAGCGGACCTGTGGCTCCGCGCGCGCGTGCGTAGTGGGTGGTGATGCGCGTGCGTGCGTGCGTGCGTGCGTGTATGCGTGGTTGTGGTGCTGGTGCTGGTGCTGGTGCTGGTGCTGGTGCTGGTGCTGGTGGTGGTGCTGGTGCTGGTGCTGGTGTGGTGGTGGTGGTGGTGGTGGTGGTGGTGGTGGTGGTGTGTGGTGGTGGTGGTGGTGGTGGTGGTGGTGGTGGTGGTGGTGGTGGTGGTGGTGGTGGTGGTGGTGGTGGTGTGTGTGTGTGTGTGCGTGTGTGCGCGTGTGCGCGTGTGCTGTGGCATGGCACGGGAAATGGCGCCAGCGCTGCAGCGGGATCACGAGTCGAAACGGGCGGAAGCGCGGAAATGAGGCCAGCGCTGCAGCGGGAGCACGATTCGGAACGAGCGGAAGCACGGAAATGAGGCCAGCGCTGCAGCGGGAGCCCGATTCGGAACGAACGGGGCCCGAAAATGAGGCCGGCGCCCCAGCGAGAGCAGCATTTTGAAAACAAACACAAGCGAAAACCCGTTTCCCGGGAATCCTGTGTGTAAAAAACAATACGCGGGGGGTGTCGGATATCTTCGGGGCGCCATCAGGGGAAGTGGGAGAGTATTTTCATATTGTGTAATTGTGGAGGTGGAGGAGGAGGAGGAGGAGGAGGAGGAGGAGGAGGAGGAGGAGGAGGAGGAGGAGGGGATGAGGCAGACGGGGCCTTCCCTTCCCTTCCCTCGCGCGGCACCCTGATCCGGATCCGCGGCCATTTTCGGCCCGAGAGGGCCGACAAGGCTCCGCCGCGGGCCGAGGAGGCCTCCCGATCGGGGGGGGCGCGGCCCTGTCGAGGCGCCGCCCAGAGTGGAAAAGGACTGCGGCGAGCAGAGTGCAAAGGCCTGTGGAGAGCCCGCGGCCCGCAGCGGCGGCCGCCACGGCGGCCCCAGGGAGGTGGCAGAGGAGGGGACCCAGGCCCTTTCCCTGAGATCCGATCTCCATCCCGAAGCACGTCTGACGTTCCCGGGCCTCGGCGAGGGCACCCCAAAGGCCGAAAACTGGCCAGACCTTGCGTCATGATACGTTTCACGACTCGAGGGGCTCCGGGGCCCTCAGATCCGACGTTGCGACAAAAATTGCGACATCGCAGAACATCGCGACCAGAGCCCTGGACTCCCTTTTGCCTGCGTCGTTCTTCGAGCCGCATCGATCTGCGAGGGTCCTGTGGCCTGAAGCGGGGCGAAAACGCCCGTCGTGAAACAATTGCGCCGCCAGGATCTCAGGACACGTCCGAGGAGGAGTCCGAGAAGGACGAGGAGGAGGCGGATGAGGAGGAAGAGGAAGAGGAGGAGGAGGAGGAGGAGGAGGCGGAGGAGGAGGAGAAGGAGGAGGAGAAGGAGGAGGCCGCCAGGATCTCAGGGTTCGAGTCGCGACGAGAATCATGACGGAGGGCTTTTGACAGTGTTTGGGCCTCGGGGGGCGGCCCCCGCCTGGCCGTGGGGCCGCCTCTCTTGGCGGCCCAGGGCGCGAAGGCGGTCCCTCGGGAAGGGGTCCAGGCCGCATGGGGGCCCACGCCATGACCAAGGCACGATACTGTTCGGATGCAGCTCCTGGGAGGTCAAATTCTGTCTCCACCCTGGTCCGAAATCCGGCTCAATCGAGTTTAATCCCGCTTGATCCGGCTCAGTCCCGCTTAACCCCGCTTAATCCGGCTCAATCCTGCTCAGTCGGAGCTCCCAAATGGGGCCTAATCCTCTTTCATCTTGCCGACGAAAACTTCCCAGTAGTTGCCTCCTACATGCTGAGGGTGCCGAGGGTCCTGGAGAGGTGCCGATCTCGCGGCCTTCTTCGTCGTTCTCGCAGGCCCCGGGCCTCAGGGGAGGCGCTCGGGCCCTCGTCGCAGCGGCTGCATGATTTCGCCCCGGGGCTCCGCTCACGTCGCAGCTGGGAAGAGAGGTTCGGGGAGAGCGGCGGTGCCCTGGCGTTTGCCGATCTGTGTTTTGTTCGAGTCTCGGCTCCGGACGTCCCGACCGTTTCTCAGGGGGGAGCTTTTTTCGTCCTGGCGTTGGATGCCCTGGGGCCCGACGACGGGCCCTATAGGGGCCAGAATCAGGGACAAGCGCCAAGATTGAATCAGGCAGCTCGTCGTAGACCGGGTCATGCGCGATAGAAACAAGGCATCCAAGTGCGAAAACAGCAACTGCGATACACACAGCATGAGCATGACAACTAGTTGTTATGTGCCTCATACCTCTCTCCTTTTGATGTGCAGATCTCTTTTGCTTTATATGCATACGCATTTATGCATCTATATATACATATACAAACATGTATAGGTACGAGTGGTATATACAAACATATATAACGTGTATACAGACAAATACATTTACATATGCATAATGTATACAGAGAGAGATACACAATCATCGCACTTGAGACGGCTTTTGCCCCCTCAAGGATGAGCGCGCTCCGACGGCTGGTTGGCGCGGCTGCCGCGGCGCCCGGCTCACTGCTTCGCCGCCACGACCCCGCCCCGAGGGCCGACCTGCTCTGGCTGGCCGCAGCGCCGCCGCGGCCCGCGCGGCCAGCCGGCCTGCAGCTGGCCGCCCCGGCCTCGCTCCGAGAGCCGGCCTGCGGCTTGGCGCTCAGTCATCCGCCTCCGCCTCCTCCTCGATCTCCTCCTCATTCTCCTCCTCGTCCTCCTCCTCCTCCTCCGCCTCCGCCTCCTCCGCCTCCGCCTCCGCCTCCGCCTCCTCCTCCTCCTCCTCTTCCTCCGCCTCCTCCGCCTCCTCCTCGTCCTTCTCGGACTCCTCCTCGCTCCTCGACGGTGTCCTGAGATCCTGGTGTTGCATTTGTTTTACAGGGGGCGTTTTCGCCCCGTATCGGGCCCCTGGACCCTCGGAGATCGACCCGGCTCGAAACATGGCCTAGAAAGATGGGGTCAGGGCTCCAGTCGTGATGTCTGCCGATGTTGCCACTTTTTCGCAACGTCGGATCTTAGGATCCCAGACCCCCTCGAGTCGTGAAAGAAATCATGACTGAATGTTTTGCCAGTTCTCGGCATTTGGGGGGCCCTCGCCGAGGCCTGGGAACGTCAGAATTGATCCGGGATGAGGACCAGTCTTGTAGAGTGGGTCCAGACTTCTGCGAGTCCACGCCATGAACATATCCTGACGCTGGGTGTCTGGGTCCCTGAGATCCGGGCGTTGCGACTCTTTCGCGCCGGGCTGGGGGGCCAAAAGCACGTCGTTGGAGTTCCTTTCGGAGGCACGGGAGGTCATCATCGTTCCACTTCCGCCTGGGTGCAGAGGAAGAGGAGGAGGACGAGGAGGAGGAGGAGGAGGAAGAGGAGGAGGAGGAGGAGGAGGAGGAGGAGGATCGATCGATCGATCGAGCTCTCGGGCCGGTTCGGTGCTGCACTCTCGCTACGTGCTGTGCTGCTTAATAAAGTTGTGTGGCCTAGCTGAGGTCACTTTGCTGAAAGGGGGTCGCGGGCGCCACTGAGACGCTCGGGCCCTACCTGCACCGACCTCCCCCACGCAGGGGTCTGCGGGCAGGGTAGCACCCGCTTTTACGAGTGCCCTCTCGCTGGCTCCTCTACTCCCCTGCCCCGTCTACCTCGTCCCTTTCCCCGACCCTTTCGCTTCGGTTCGGGTGGGGGCGGGGGAGGTCGGTGCACGACAAAATAGTCGGGAAAGCTCGGGCCTCGGAGTTGGAGAAGGTCGGGAGTCTCGGTCGGAGGCGGAGGAGGGGGGAGGCGGCCTTCCCTGACCAGCTCGTGGAATCGTGCGCTGGTGAGAAAAGTTCGCGGGATGGCCTGAGGGGCCGCGCTCGCTGGGACAGAACAGAGCCGCACCGTCCGCTCAGTCACATCGTTATGTGCTGCTCCTCTCTCCGTGTCGTTCTGGCTCAGTTGTTGACGAGACGTCCCAGTTCTCGCTCCAGTGCTCCGCGCGGCGCCGCCCCGATCTTGCGGCTCGCTCCCTCCTTGCGGAGGGCGCGCGTGAGGATCGTCTCCAGCTGCGTGTCCGTTGCCTTCACCTGGAACTGGAACCTGCACTTCTCCGTGGCGCCCCCTTCCTTGCCCTTGTTCCTGCGCGCGCGGAAGATCGGGATGCTGTCTGCTACCTTCTCCGCGCTGCCACTCAAGATGACGTCCTTGTAGTACTTCTCGAGGTAGTCGCGCTCCGCTCCTGCGTCGTACGTGCGCCCCATGTAGTTCACCACTTCGGTCCACACGCGGATGTGGGGGCTGCCGAGCGAGGCCGTGTCCACTTGTTCTCCATCTGCTGCTCTGCGTCGTAGGTCCTGCGCGTCGTCGTTGTACGTCTGGCCCGCCTGTAAGCCCGCCTGCGCGATGCCGCTCTGCGTGCTGATCTCCCACGTCTGGATGATGGCCGACGCCAGCTCGGCCTGCTCGCGCGCCAGCGTGAGGGTGAGGCGCGCCGTGAGGTCCACTATGTGCGGGTTGGCCACCGCTGCTCCTCCTCCCGCTGGTGTTCCTCCTGCGGCGGCGCGTCGTGGTTGTCGACTGCGGTCCGGTCGCTGAGGTCCTGCCGCCGCCGCTGGCGCCCAGGCTGGGCGCTGGTCGAAGAGCGCCATCCTGTGTCCGAGGTCGTAGTAGTGGTCTGGGTAGATGTGAGCACAGGTGTGTGAAGAACGCGCCCTTGTCTAAGAACAGATGGCAGCAGAGAGGACATTTTCGTGCTCGGTTTAGTCGGCTGGCTCTGGTTTCGTGTCCTATCTGGGTTACAGCTGCCCGTGATCAAGCTCCTGGCCAGGTGTTTCCAGGCTGTTCCTCGGCTCGTGAAGCACTGGTAGCAATTGATGCACTCGTTGTTCGTAGTTAATAGAGCGGCTAAATTGTGAACGTTCTGATTTCGAATGACATGACTGTGTAGCGCTTTTTTGCTCGCGAACAGTAGTCCGCATTCCCCAGATTCGTCCCCGAGCGAGCACTTCCAAGGCTGGAGGTCCTGAAGGGCTAAGTCCTCTCGGAGTTCGTCGTTGGAAGTATAGCCTGGAGGAGGAACTGCTACCGTCAATTTAGCTGCTCTGACCTCGCGTACGTCTAGTAGGTGCAGTTGTTTTCTAATCACTAGCGTGAACATCTTACCTATCTAGACCTGCTCTTCCCCGAAGATGTTTCGTAAGCTCTCCGAGACTTGGCAGGTTTTCGTGACATCCTCCTCGATTCGTCGGGCCCAGGGGTTTGTGTGCGTAGTCAGCTCATCTGTCGTGCCGTCATCGTTGGTCTCGAATTCGAGGCGTCCGAACAAGGCGGCGATGAGTTGGCGGTGATTGTTCGGGTATCTCAGTATATTTTTTGTCTAGCCAAGTCTGCGGACCAGTGCCTCCTCCGCTGGTGGAAGGATCTGCCAGTAGCGGAAGACCTCCAGCGTTGTCAAACTACGTACCGAGCCGTCCTCGTTGTGCGTGCTAGCTCGGCCTGCCATCGCCCGTCTCAGGAGGGCGCCCGTCGCGCTCTGGGGCATCTGGTACTCGTTGGGCGTGGGCAGGTAGCACTCGATGCACGAAAGCCCCGTGTTGATGACCCTGCATATGGGGACTGCGCGCTTCCACTTGTAGGGTATCTCTCGCTTGGTCCAGAACCTGCCGCACTCTTAGTAGCTCTTCTTCATGGCCTGGATGCGCTTCTGCAGCTCTGGGTAATAGCTCTGCGTCGATGTTACTTGAGGGCCCAGGCACCGAGCCACCGCCACCACTTTGCCTGGAAGTTTGCATTGCGGGTCCTTCTTGATTCGTTGATTCGCCTGGCTGGCGCCTTCTCCATGAAAGTGTACTATCGTCTCCTGCGTGTCTTTTGTTTTGCTTCAGGCCGATCTCGCTCAGGCGTCTGTTCAGCGTGTCGTCTATCTTGTGAGCCTGGTGGGCGAGCAGTATGGGATTAGCCTGTTTCCCGTTCGAGATGATCTTGCGCATGTCATCCGCGTACTTCGTTAGCCCCACGTAGACTGGATGTTGGAACAGTTCGCTTCATCCGTACAGTAATTCATCGTTCTCGATCTCGTCGTTGCAGTCCTTGGTCCACCTCTGGATGCAAGGGGCGAAGCTGACCACGAAGTTGCGTACCATGTAGGGGTCGCCGATGAGGCCGCCGCAGTGGGGCTTGATTCATATTCCCTGCGCGTCGTCTCTGCAATCAATGTTGAACGTCGCCCTGCGGTATCGTTGTTCTCCGAGGTCCCAGAGGTCCTGCGGCATGATGTTGCTGTTGGCCGCGTCCATGGTAAGCCACTTGCAGCTGGCGAACGCGTTGGGCATGTCCTTCATGGTGGACGCGTAATTGTAGCCTGCGTTGCGAGCCCTGTACTCGATGACTGACATGGTGAGGATGGCTCCTTCTCGTCGTCGTCCCCTGATGAACCCGTAGTCCTGGTCCGTGTGGGATTGTTGTCGGTGCTTCCTGAGTCCCGCAGCGTAGTAAGCCTTGCCGATGGGGTCCATGATGTGGTAGATTCGCTTGCCTGCTGGTCCTTTCTTCGTGTTCTTCTTAACCGCCGTCGCTGTGCTTTGATGCCATCGAACTGGTGCCACGTTGCTGATGCGTATCGCCGCCAAGGCCGCCTTCAATAATGTTTGAAACTGTTCAGGTTCTCCGTCTCCCGGTTGATGTCCGAGGCCGTGTCGTTGGCGTGGTTGGTGTTCCGCCTTCGGTGGGCATAGTAGTAGTCGCCATATCTCCGCTGGTGCCGCCGTTGGTGGTGCTGCTCGTCGTAGGCGTGCTCGTTTGAGGCATTTGGCAATCTCGTTGTAGTCTTCCTCTATCTTTTCCTCCAAGTCGTCCTCGTAACAGTCCTTCTCCTCGGCGTTGTGCGGGGTGGCCTCCAGGTGCTGAGTATCCTGCTCGGTGCCTTCCATGCCGCCTGAGCCTCCTGGTAGTTGCCGAAAATCAAGCCATTCCTGCTTCGTGGGGTTTGCCGTAGTAGCCGTCCAGAAGTCCCTCTCTTGCGTGGTCCGTATCTTCCTCCCGCGATCAATCGTGATAGTCTTCCAACTCTTGCCAGGTCCCTTTCCTCCCACGCCTCGTATAGTTCTTCGACTCGTTGCTCTGTGCGTCGCTGTTGTGCGTGTCGTCGTTGCCGTTGGCATGTCTTCGTGATGTCGTGCAACTTTTTCTCGATCTCGCGCATGCGCTGCTCGGTCTCCGTGATCGGCTGTTCGTCTGTGGCGTATGGATTGCCTTCCAGCTCTGTCTCTTCCTGGGACCTGGGTGGGTCAGCGACCGTCCCTGGAGGGTCCCTGGGTTCGAGCACGTCCGCGCAAAACGGGGGAGGCGACGATTCGGGCGCTGGCGTGCGGTTAGCCTCATGATGAGCGGCGTGTAATTCGTGAAGTTCAGATCGGGCTGCTCTGCGTTGTCTTAGTAGCTGCATGCGCTCGTTGCGGAGCCTCTCGTAGTCGTCGGTCGGTTTCGGCGCCTGGCTGTAGTACTGCTGGGCTGTCTCTACGAGGATGGTGTTGATGTCCGTGAAGAGCTGATCGACTCCTTTTCCTGCTGGGTCGTAGTCCTCTATCCGCTGCTCTACCTTCTTGATGTATTCTCCTCTGTGCAGTCCGTGTCGTACTGCGAGCGCGAGGCTGTCCTTATCCCATCTCTGTAGCTGAGGTCGCTGTCGTACTTGTTGCCGAAAGGTCACCTGCACTGGAACGTGATCTCGTCTAGATCGGCAGCGTATGTGTTGTAAGCGTGTTCCCATCCTGAGCAGGGGTCCTTGAGATATCAGCGTCTCGGTCATGCTCCTCGGTATCATGATGTAGTCGATGCAGCTCGCGTTCTTCTCTCCGAAATACGTGGGGCGCCATTGTCCGAGCGTGTTCACTACGCTGAGGTCGTAGCGGTCGGCGTAGGTACGAGCCTTCTGTCCAGCGCCGCTTGGTAGTCGCTCGGGCGATCTGCCTTCTCCGAGCGCTGGTGTATCTGGTCGTCCTCCTTTCTGTGCGATGCCGATGCCGTCGTTGAGGTCGCCCGCTACAATGAGTATCGTGTGTCTATGTTTCCTTTTTCTGGTCTCTTCTATCCAATTGAACAATCTGCTCGTCGTAGCGTAGTACTCTTTTCTGGTCGTCTTGCCCTTGTTGGGTTGCGGCGGACTGTAGTATCCTATGATCAGCAGCGTCTGGTCGTGATGCTGCCGGGTGATCGCGAGACCTCTTCCACTGAGCTCGGGCGGCGGCTCCTGGATGTCGATCACTTTAGCCCCTCGCAGCCGTCCCTGCAGCGCGATGATGATGCCCGTGCTGCGGTTGGTCAATTCTCCTGGTTGCCAGCCCGCTTCGTAGTAGCGTGTGTTGTCGCAGCGGTGCTGCGTGATGACGGGGTCGCGTCGTCTGCGTGATGTCCCCACCTGCACGATGATGTCGAAATTGTCTGCCTCCTCGTATATCTCCGCGAGCCTGTCGGGCTTTGCCGAGAGCGGGTTGAAGAGGAGCACAGCGAGAGACGCTGCAAGTGCCGCCATCATGCGGGCCGCCGCCCCTTCTGTCTGCTCGATCCGAGGAATAGCATAGTGGCGGTCTGGGCTGCCCTGACAATATCTTAGGCCCAGGTGGCAGCTGGAGGAGGAGGAGGCGGAGGAGGAGGAGGAGGAGGAGGAGGAGGAGGAGGAGGAGGCGAAGGCGGAGGAGGAGGAGGGTCTCTCTCTGCGCTCCAGGGCAGCCCGCGCCCAGAACAGCGGATAAGCAGCAGCACAGGGCCCCCCGTCGCTCCAAGATACCCCCCCTGAGATTCTCCGGGCGCGGATTTTTTTGCGAGTGGGGCGCCTTCGCCCCAGATCGATCTTGCGTGCAAAATGCAGCGGGAAGACGGGGCCTGGGCCTCCGGCCGATGTTTCTCTACGCGCTGTTGCACTGTGTCCGCAGCGCGGGCTGTGGCTCTGGATCGCAAGTGCGGGCGACTGGCCCATGCGGCCGGCCGTCCGGGCCCAGCCGCGGGGTCGGGCGGGGCTGGGTTGTCGGTGCCGGCAGAGAGGTGGATATCATGGCGTGGGCCATGATGTGTCCCCAGATTTCACGGCGCCTCTTCTTGTTGCATTACGTCCATGGCCCCCAGTTGGGCCGCGCACATGCCGGCGGCCATGATTTGCGCCCCCCTCTCTTGTCGGGTATAGCCAGGACCCCGGTTAAGGGGAGCCGGTTAGTGATTGGGCCCCGAAGCCCAAAATATGGATTGGAATCACTAGACCAGGTCTGCCGTAGCTGTTTTTTTTCGGGTGATGGCATTTCCGGTTAGTGGAATGAGGCGGGGGGGGCGTCCCCGGTACAGATCATTAAACCAGGTCCCACTAAACCCAGTCCTGCCATCGCCCGATCCTGGGTGCCCCCCTCTTTGGCCGCCCGCGAGATTAGGATCAGAAAGGGGTTTGGCTCAGTCCGTGCAGTTTTCCCCCCTCCCTGCCTCCTGCTGCCCCTCCTCCTCCTCCTCCTCCTCCTCCCTCCTCCTCTCGCCGGTGCGTTTTTTACCTGTCGCATGTTACTGCAAATACAGCCACTAGTCAGTCTCTGCCGCATATCACCACCGAGTGCTCGGGTTACTCGAGAGATATTGCGGTCGTCCCCTCCTCCTCCTCCTCCTCCTCCTCCTCCTCCTCCTCCTCCTCCTCCTCTTCCTCCTCCCCCTCCCCTTCACCTTCCTCCCCCTCCTCCACATCTCCCTCTTTGCTCCTCTCCCTCCCCCCT